AAAGACACCAAAATTCGTCAAAAGCTTCCCAAAAATATGTTATCTTCCGATATTTCGGTGCCGAGCACCGTCGTCAGGCATGAAATTTTCAGCTTGTTATTCAGTTTAGTTAGACAGTATACGGAATGCCGTTTGAGTGCAGGGTAAGTGGATTGATTGGGGAGCGGCCCGCGTAGGTTAACTTGTATAGTAGGTATACTGTCTTAAACTAAATAGCAAGCTAAAAATTTCAGGCCTGACGAAGGTCCATGCACCGAACTATTGGCAAGATACTATCTAGATATATAACAAGGGGCCAAAAAAGTGCACTCGACCGAGCGACAATACCACAGCAAAGTTTTTGCAGGCGCATAAAGCCCACAAGGGGGGGAGAAGATGTGGATACGAGTATCAAGCCGAAGATATCCAAGATTCCTTGAAAGCAGGAGCTGGCCGTCGCCCATCACCTTCATGTGTACACCAAAATATGAGGTCATCTCCAGTCGCAGCCTGACTGGAGAAGACCTTTGGAATTCATGTCACCTCCAAACAGCTGCGAAACTTCTAGTGTGGAGTCACCCATGGGTAGCTACCTGGAGACCAGTACTCTCAATCTGGAAGACCTCCAACATCGAGCAGCTCCGACAACGTCGCTACGGTCTAGGACATCATCTTCACCGCAGTCGTCAAGGAGCGGGTTGATGGTATGGACCGGAGGTACCTGGAATGGAAAGACCAATATTTTCTTCGTGGACCCGACTGAAGTTGAAGGCGGCGCTTACATTGGAAGCAAATCGAGAAGACATATCCCAGGCCCAGCGACGTCGGCCGCCTCCTACCTTCTTGAAACTTTGTACTGCTTACAGGCTGGTGCCTCCACGTGGAAATCGAAGGGGCGTTGGAGCGAAAACTGCTCGCCTACCTGGAATGGAAGGGCTGAGGTACCCCTGAAAGAAGATGGATATATCCAAGTAGTCAGTCGCTTACGCTTAATCCCCACAAATACTCGGTTTGGGCGACTTCAAGAAGGGGGTCTAGTGGTGGCGGATGAAATCAGACTACCCCGCTAATCTCCAGGCACCAACAGTCGTCGGCTCGCTGTGGCCAGAATCCCTCGATGGCGCTCGCCAAAAGGCTGGTAGCGGGAGTTTTATTATAGTATGTTGATAATGCTCTTTAATATGGTGATAGAAATGTCCGATTAGAATTCATAAAGTGTAACTTATAGCGCCACGAAAGTCAATGAAGAAAAGTGACTTTTTTTGCCCCCCCCCCTGTAGGTTTGGAGAACTTTTGAGACTTTTGATGTCTTTAATTATTTCGAAACAAACATTTGTTGGAGTTTCACATTGTAACCCTACGTTCCAACATCAGTGGAAATATGGATACGATTTTTGGTCAGGCTAGAACAAATTCTCTGGATCCTCCCTGATGAGGTGAAAAACGTCGACAGAACACGGTAACTAGAAGAAAAGGGAGTGAATTTGGGTATTTGTAGAAGCAGAAAAAGAGAAAGAATAACAGGAAAGGAATGCCATAAAGTCACGCTAGAAGTGATGCACTACCGATGTGGTTCTCGGCGTCGCCTTCGTTGTTGGACGTTGCGTCGTCTTCGGTGTTGGACGTGGCGTCGTTGACGGCGTTATACGCGCTGTTGGCACGGGAGTCGAAGGCTAAAGAAAAGGACGGAAAGCCTCTCAAACTCGAAGGAATGGGCATAGTGTAGAAGAAAATAGCATGCACAGAGCTTCTCAAGTCACCACACATCAAGAACCTGGAGCTGGAACGTCCCTTCATGCGTATTTTATGTAGTATTTTTCAGGTCCATCTCGGTGCTTACCTCTGCAGGTTCCGAAGGCGACTGTTTTCTGAACGCTCCCGATGAAGCCCAAGGTGTGTTCTTTGCAGGGGCTACTCTCGGAGGCGGTCGTGTTTGAGGTGAAGCCCTGAAACACAGTTGTTCGCCTAGTGCTAGTGATTATGGCTGGAGCACATATTAATGAAGGCCGCATACTGCAAGGCATGAAGTGGGCAAACATATTGTATACAGTTCCTGATGCTATTAGTGCGTGATTGAGAACAAAATGTATGTACTTGTAAGGAATACTGCAAAGGAGGGGCGTCATCGAGACCTTCCTTTGTAACTCGCACAGCATAGCATGTCTTGTTCAGGAATTATTTACACTTCTATGGATCTGAACTCATTCACATCACCACTGTGGCTGACTGAATTGGTACTAAATTCATCGTCAAGTATAAAACTCTCGGCCCCCGTCCATACGATTAATAGTATGGACGGAGGCATGGGTGGAGACAGCCAGCGAAAGCGTCTTCTTCGTTGGTGCGCCTCTCACTTTCATTATTTGGGACCAGATTGGAAAACACACTCCTTACCTCTTACCAATGTTCTCTTCTAGCAAAATTTGAAATTTGTGGTTTTCATTTGTCGTAGAATAGATAAAAATTCTTGGTTTGTGTGAGGCCAATTGTATGGCATTTTAGCCCTCCCTTTGTAGCTGATTACCATAGGACCCGTTGGTCACCACATCGTTGGGAGAATGAAAGTCGAGTTGAGTTGAACCCATCAACGCCACACCGAGAACACAGTATCACGATCCTACTATTAATATATAGAACCGGAGGACCGGTACTGCCTTTATGAGGAATCTCACCACCCCTCTTCCGGGTGTGGTCCACCTAGTGGCAGCCCTTTCATATCCAGTCACAACGCCGCTCAACTAGTCCGTTTGGCGAGAACGGGAGGGAAGTTGTGGACAGTACTCACATGCGCCTCCACTTGAGAATCGGTCAGCCCAAGAGAAAAGTTTTGACCAAACTCCAATAATTCAGTGAGGAAATAGGGATCTCTATCATATGTGTTTTTGGAACAGCCAAGTGTAGTGGCGAGATTGTTGTTCCTTATAAATTGATTTTAATCAAAAAACGCAGATGGTCCAAGTCAAATGCAGGGCCACCCCGCCCCCACCCTCAGACAAAATTCGCCTCCCAAGCTGTCAGAGTGAATGGCGTAGCGCAGTCATGACAAGCGGGGACTCTGAACTGCCTCTAGGGACTCGTTAAGTAGGCGTATTATCAAAATAGATGTTTTCCTAATGGATGGAGCAACCTGTTGCAGTCTCAAAAGACGAATACTTGAAAGAAGAGCAAAGAGATAGAGAGCAGACAAAGTGGGCCTGGGTTAAAAAGCGAGGCTCAGTATTCCATTGTACAGTGCCTCATCATTGCGGCTCGGCGGGGCGTGCCACCAGTATGAAATGTGCACCTGTTGAAGCCGTTCTCAGCCTTTTTGTTGAAACGCGTATGCGACAAAAAGTGGTAGAAAACGAGTAATACGAAGGATATAATACAGTAATGTCACTTGCCCGCTTCAACAACTGGTGCAGAACGACTTTGGCACCGCGCCAAACGCAGCCGCACTGACACGCCCCACCGGTCCGCAATGATGAGGACTGTAGTTGTGTGCAACTATGAGTTCATTCGATGTGCGAAGAGTGGTTGTGAAAACAACAACGTCGAAAATATGTAGTTGCAAAATTTCGGCAATTGCAGTCCTTGAAAATATGCATTCATAGAAGTTCAAGTAACAAAACGAAATTTGAAAAATCAATAGCGAGCTTGCTTAAAAGTGGACGTGGCTGTCGGGGGGGGGGGACTGCAGTAGTGCACATATACTCGCGATTCGGTGAGTAATGTCCGTCGAAAAGTAAAAGTGAATTTGAATTGCGAAAAATCGCTGCCCATTTGATGACGAGAAATGGTGAATTCAAAAATGGAAAGTGCTACATAATACATTTGGCAGAGCGTGATCGCATTGCATGCGGATCCCTTGAGCGCGGCATGTTCTCGACGCCCTTATCATGGCAAATTGTGGCGCCCATTGAGAGTCTTGAGGCAACTTCAACTAAGATGATTCCTGGCTCATCGGCCAGCCTATTTGCATTGGTCTTGCTGGCCATAGAATGAGGCGGCATCACAGCTGGGCTGGGTTTGGCGCTCTGCTCCACGTACTTCACCAGCTGTTGGAGCAGGGTGTGCTACGACCAAGGGTACAGCATCGTGATGTGTGAAATGGGTGGTGTAGGTACGACCCCTACCCCCGAGGAGGGTCCTTGGTACGAACGGCCTCCCCCCCCCCTACGAGCCAACACTTACGCCGAAGAGATTTCCGTCCGAGCGGAGGAGTAAAATTAGCCATCTGAACGGGAAAGAATTTCTTGACGATTTTCCACCAACTTCTACCCACATTCCGGGAATTTACTGAAATTTCCCTACTTTCACCCGAAAATTTTGCTCTCGAGCGGGGAGGGGGGAAGGAGGATTTTTTTTCAAAATTCTTTCAAGGCTACATACGGCCCCTCTCCCAACAACGACCATACGACCCTCTCCCTCTCCAGCCAAAAAGTAAGCGGCCCCGGTACATATGTGGTTTCACACACAGCGATGCTGTAACCCTGGCGACGACACCTGATGGAAAACGGCTACTAGGAACGATGCAATACAGTCTTGCCGCTCGCAGAAAAAAGAAAAAAGAAAAAAACGGGATGGACTGCGCCAAACCCATCCCCTTTGACACGTCCCCCTCCCTCGTAGCGAGAACAGGACTGTAATTTCTATAAAGATGTTTCAGTGCAGCTGCAAATGCGAACTTGATAAATGTGCGAGGTGCGAGGCCGACACCCTATTTTTACCATGCAAAATCAACAAAATTAAATCGTGAAAAATCTTAAAGTTAACAGGAATCATCACTAAAACATCTCATCTTTTACGCAAAACTCTGGTTCAAAAGGATGCTGTTACTCCTCTAGGCTGACCGCGATATGAGTAAGTGTTAGGCATTCCGTCTCGGCAGTATCTGCTAGCAAAATTAACCGATCATTAAAACTTTTTGGAGACCTGACTACCGCCTTAAGTGTGAATGACCATTCGCGTGCGAAGCCTCGCACGTGTTGCGGCACTTAGTCACTGCACCACGTGCACCCTTTCATTTATAGACAACATACTTACACTGGTATGACGGGGGGCAGGGTCATGGAAAGCATCGGAAAGGACGGTTTGTCCTCCTCTGTCGCACTTTCTTCGTATTCCGTTTCATAATCTTCTGGCCCAACAGATGGATTCGGATTTGAAGAGAAAACACTGAAAATTCAGGTAAGGTGAATAGCCGGGAAGCAAATACCGTGACAATCTTACATGGAGGACTCAGCCACACCCGTCTCGCAGTACATCTCATCGGATCCATCGCTGCATTGAGGAACACCATCGCAAAGCTGATATTCAATAATATAAATTAGCATAAGCATAATGTAGACGTTTCAAAGGTAGCACCTGAGTTATGGGGAATCTCCTCCGTACGGCTTTGGCAAGTGAACACTCTCTTGTCTTGGCTTTTCCTACAAACAATAAAATTGGAGGCTGCAAGAAAAAAGGCAGGACTTTCGCTTACTTGCAGAGCATTTCATCCTCTCCGTGGGGACACTGACGTTTGCCATCGCAGCGTTCCTCGTCGGGAATGCACTCACCACTTTTTGCGCAGTGGAATAAGGCCATTACCACAACTAAAAGTATTGCAAGTTATACGAATGCTGAGTTGTGGGCAAAAGTCGTGCCCCAGGCGGGAGTCGAACCCGCACCTCACGCTTTCCGGGCGAGTGCGCTATCCGTTACGCCACCAGGGCCGCTTTTACCCTCTCATGCAGCTTAAGGCAGCTTTTATGTCGTTAACCTATCAGCACTCACACGTTTAACTTGGTGAGTCCGTCAGTCGTCGTAGTCGATGGTATATCAGCATGGAACCGCTAGGCCGAAGGCTTTAGATGTTTTTGAAGCTGTTTCGTTTATGACTAAACTGGCTGTTTGACCGCAATATCGCATACTGTGGGGTCAAACCAGCAGTTATCATAAACAAACAGCTTTCAAAAAGTATTGCCTTGTTGCACTGCGTTGCAATGCTCATTGATTCCTTCCTATCTGCTGAAAATAACTGTCGCATCTTGGGGAACTATGCGCCAGCTCTATTGAAAAGGGAACTAAGACCATCTGTGCGGCGCTTTCGCGAAACATGGTCGACCGCTTCTGCGAAACACTTCGTGGCTATTTCAAAGGTGGGAATTTGTCACCGACACAGTATCTGGTGCGCGATGAACTAACCCGGAAAAAAACAGAACCAAAACACATTAGAAATGTGAAATAACACAACAAAAATCATCTGCGGAGAAATTACTCAATTGTTTCGAACATACGAAAGAACAGAGGGAAAAGCGAACATTTTACCTCAGCAATCTTCAGAGGCTTCAGAAAAAAATTCGCTGAAACTTTGACAGTAAGGGATACTCAGTGCCCTCTACGGATATGACATGACTTCCCGGGGCCGGCGCCCCACACCTTTTCTTTCATCAAAATCTGTACAAACTAGCATACGGGGCTAATTTTGTGACGCCAGAAATGGTGTCAGCATTGTTCCGGCGCACAATCCCTGCCGAAATTTTTACTATTCATATTCGCATTTGTGGTTAGTTGGGGAGGGGGACGCCAATCACATGCTTTTCATGCGCGCAGCGCCAGGTTCGCAATGCAGGAACACCGAATGAACCTAGAGCTCAAAGTTTGTAGTGGTTCTAGAAGGGATTTCCCGAGTAAGTAAAACAAGTAATAGGTGGCAGGACTACTAGTACCAGAAGGGAGCAGTGATGAAAAGTCCTCTGGAGCAACCTATACATTGCTTGTTAACAGATGTTTCAGCGCAATAGTGCGTAACCCAAGAATATAAGATATGCCCTTGAAAGCATTCTACGCGGACATCAAGTTGAAAATGACATAGAACGACACGTAAAGTGAAGACCATCTTATCAGTAGTCACTGAGGACAATTTTTCACACTGGAGCACTCACCTTCGCAATAGCTTTCATCGGTGCCATCACTGCACTCTGTGATTCCATTGCATCGTCGTCTTTTGTCTATGCACTGCTCAGACACGATACATGCAAACTCGTCTGCTGTGCAGAGCGCTGAAAAGTCAATTGAATCTCCAAATCGCTGGAAAAAAAAAGAGCAAATGGAAGCAATGGAGCAATGATCCTATCTGGGAAGCCGACCTTCCTTGAAGGCATAGTCTGGTCGGTCTAAAATGCTAGCAGGGCGCTATATAGTGGGGAAAATGGCGAAAGAACGGAGTGAAACGGTCAAAATCCTGCGAAGAAAAAGCCTTCGTTCTTGATGACTTAAAAATCAAGTTTCGTTTTTTTGAGTACCCTCAGACATCTTGGTAGTAACCGCTACGGTAGGTAGGGTTACACGTATGTTCTCATATAAGCATGCAGCAGCCACTTCATATCAATTCCTTCGCTTCATATTTTACTTAGCAAATGAAGCAATACGAGCATCAGGTACGGTCGTCCATTTGTGGGCGGGCGGGCGCGGTGGGCGTTCGGGTCGGTATGTTGCAGCTTGATAGGACCCTATAAGGGTACCTTGCTTAGCACCTGCTAGATACCTGCTCAGGGGACGCGGAATTCCTTCCTTACTGGCGTGTTGATCCTTTTCTTCTTGAAGATTTATCGTTCCAACTGCTTCTAGGGTACAATTCTGATGGGACTCTAGGCTGAATGAAACAGTAACAGAGCGAAAAAAAGGTAATTCTTCGGGACACAAAAGCCAGTACAGTTCTTCGGAAGGAAGAAAGTGAACTTTTCAAACAGTGTCACCGCGCTTGGCATCGTTTCTAAAGTGTTGAAGAAGAGGTAAGTATCTGAGCTAAAGCGGTTACATAAGAAAGAGAAGACAACCCGGAGGAGTATTATAAATCAGTTCATTGCTAAATCTTCAGCTGACTACGAAGGTTTTTCACGCACGGAAATCCCTAACTTTTCTCATTGTGGGTTTTGTTAGATCTGCAGGGATTGCAATTGGAAGTTGGGTACCTTGAGCTAAAAAGCGCTTTTTTTGTGGGAAATGTTTCAGAACAGCATGGACAGCGGGCAAATCGGGATCAACTGATGACACTTTTTCCACACGACGCCCTACCATTACGAAA